CCCTCCCCACAGACTCTTGAGGACCATCAACTTGGAATGTGGCTCTGCTAACCACTTCTTTTGTGTTAGTCCATTGCCCAAGGCACAGCCAACCTGCCCATTCAACATCCCTTTCACACAGTGGGCAGGGGGAAGGGAAAATTCCTGCTTATTTTCTCAGAACAAGCAAAACCATGACAAATACTTTGTTTCTTTCAACTCTGGAACCTAGATTCATGAAGGCAAATCAAAGTAATTTATCTTGATGGACTAGAAAGTAAGAGCTGAGTTACCTCTGTGGATCAGGGTCTGATCTTTTTGGGACAAGGATTGCCTATTAGTTTGGGAAAATTCAACACTTTGCATTCAGAACCAAATGTCTTCTAGAAGCTCTAAATCATTGTGGGAAGATGACTGGGGGTAAAAATTAGAGGAGACTAAGAATTACAGGGCAAAATGCAGCTGATTCCTGGATGGAATGCAGTTGATATGCTCCATGAGGACTCCCCATACAACAATAAGCACCTGCTACAGGGGATGGAACAGAGGATGGAGTGGAGTGGAGATGCTGCAGTCTCCCTCCATAGAAATCCCTGCAGGGAGGGGAATGTAGTGGTACTTTGTAGTTTGGAAGACCTCATAACACCTGCCAACCAAGGGAGATAGATGATGTCCTCCTGACAAGCCAGCAACTATGTCAAAACCTCTCTCCTCAGATAAAATTGGTTCATTAAAGCTTCATTGTAATATTTATACACATCTCCATCCCAAAGTTACCTGCCTCCAAGATATGACCATCCCCCACTGGGCATGCGCCCTATATTTTTTTGACTGTATCTTTAAAAGTGAAGCAAGAGAATTTTACACCAATAAGAAAAAAACGTATTTATGACTAAAGTCACTCAAGCTACACCTAAACATAAAGAAATAGTAAAAAAGTAAGTTGAGAATGGGGAGGAAATCAGAGAAGACTCCATCATAACTGCTGGGATCAGTTGATTAGCTGAACCTGTCTTCTCCCCCTATAGGGATGCCTATTGGGTAAGAACCATACTCTACACGTACTGAATATTGCTCTTAGGATTAGAGTTTGCTTTACAGTATAGTATATTGCTTTAAACATGTTTTTGCAGTCAGATACTATCACACCGGCAATCTTCAAACTTTATTAACCTGTCAAAACTTTGTATTAATAATGAGTGTTATTCCGTAAACTATTAGAGTGAGTCCTTTACAGGTATTAGCAGTTGCTGGCAGCAGATAACACACTCAAGTAAAATGGGAAGACCTGCTGAGGGGTCTCCCTTACGCTGTTGGCTTAGCTCCCTGAAAAGGGCAGTCAAATAGCCCTCCGATCCAGTGGAACTTTTTGGTGAAGGGTCCCCATTACAGACTCCAACAGACTGGTCAGGCACAAGGATCTTGGCTTTCCTGGGTCACTGACAGACAGATAAATCACTAAGGGTCAAGGAAATCTCCCCTTTTCACTTGACAGTCATCTTGCATGCTGCTAATAGAATGGAGTTTTTATGCTGCATACACTGTGATTAACTGATGATCTTCATTGATGCTGCAACTGTCAATACACTTTGCATTATCCTCAGTGATTAATATCTCATCAGAAACAGAGCTCACATTGTCCAGCTCCAAAATGACAAGCCTCTGCCATTGGAATCAAAGGAAGATGAATCACTGATGATTACAATTTAGTGTCCTGTCTCTCACTTAGCACTATTTCTAGTCCAGGAACCAGAGACAAAGAACTGGGACATGACCTTCATCTCTACTTACACAGTGAAATGCAAATGTGAGGTGACAGATAAACCTTACTTTTCTCTGATATAGATGTGGCAGCCACCATTTCCCATGTGTGGAAGTCCTCTAGAGCAATTAGGTATCTTATTGACTGTTCAAGAGCTGAGCAGGTATTACTGCATATGAACCAGCCCTAACCTCTCTCCTTTTATTGCAGCCATGAAAACCAAGTTTTCATGAGTGTCAAAGAACAATATTGACATAAATTTAGCATCATAGTTTAAATTGATATATATATACTGTACACAGTCATTAGCATAGCAATTTTTTATTAAGGTCTCAAGTGGAAAAGTTTGGCTCCTTTGAGTGGAAAACAAACACCACCATCACTACCCCTCCTCCCCCAAGATATCATCAAGGTAAAAAGGTCAAAGAGACAAACAAAATGTTAAAAAACACCAAGGAAAAACAAAAACCCAAAGAATTTTGTCCTAAATGCATATGTCAGTGCACGAACACATGCACGCATATATAGTAGCTATATACATATACATGGATGTAGACATTTATAAAGAAACTTTGTGTATAACTAATAAATTATCTTCCATCCAAAAATCTAAAAAAACCAAACCCTCTTACACTTTTCAGTCAGTCTGTTAAAAATACAATAATTTATATATGGACATGGAGCTCTAGTAAAGAGAGAGAATTCAGTAATTCACAGTCATTTGAAAAAAGGAACTTATTTTGATAGAGTTGTCATATTATAATTATGACGAAAGATGAAAAAGGGTTTTCTGGATGATGAAGGAAGGATCAGTTAAGGATGACCAAGGGTTCAGTTCAATCTAGTAGCATGATTGCAGTTAATAATCACACTCATAAATAGTACTCCATTGTGTTTGAGGAAATACTCTGACCTTATAGGAAAAAAAAGATTAGGTTCTGTTGTAGATTGATGACAACTGGTATTTGCAAAAGGAAGAAATTAGGTATTTTGCTTTAGGAATAATTATCAACATATTTTCAGTATAATCCATGGGTTGCACAAATGATTGCAGGGATATTCTAAAAAGAATCACTTCAAGTTCTTTATTAGACAACATCATGAAACAGTCTGGAGGAAATAGATGTGGTGGGTGGCTTTTCTAACAAAAAAATAACTCACATAAGATGGAAAAGTATATTCGAAGAGTGTGGTCTTATGAAATTTATTAAACATTCATTCATAGAATCATAGAATGGTTTGGGATGGAAGGGACCTTAAAGATCATCTCGTTCCAACTCCCACCATGGGCAGGGACACCTTTCACTAGACCAGGTTGCTCAGAGCCTCATCCAACCTGGCCTTGAACACTCCCATGGATGGGGCATCCACAATTTCTCTGGCCAACCTGTTCCAGTGCTTCACAACCCTCACAGTCAAGAATTTCTTCCTAATATCTAATCTAAACCTTTCAGTTTAAAGTCATTCTCCCTTGTCCTGTCGCTACATGCCTGTATTCATGCTTAATTAGATGCTGTTATTTTTTGGTCTGTGTTTGACCCAGTCACCTGTGAGAGTCCATTCTTTTCCTGTCAAGTTATCTGAAAAAAAAGCACTGATAAAGGAGAACTTCATCCTTGAAGGAAGCATCTTCTGTAAACTGAAATTAATTGGGGCCTGACTATTGGTTGACGGTCCTCCAAGGACATTTAAAGGAGAAAGTGAAAGGGAGGATGATGAAGTAAGCCCCCAGACTCATTTAGGGAAGACCCCCCGAGGTGTAGCACGCAGGCATGGGGAAATTCCAATGTACACATGCATGTGCAGAAGGGGCACCACTTTCATAATGGGGGAAGGGACTGAAGGTCTCTAGCTGGGCGGTGCTGACCACATCTGCCCAGGTAGACATCACAGGTTAATTGTATAAAAAGCAGATAGCTCTTGCTGGGAGCAGACTCAAGTTTCACATGGAGGACAACGATGCCTTTGCAGGGATACTCGCTATCTTGTGAGCCTGCCGACGCTCCAGGGATGCAGCTTCTGCTATGGGGAATTATAGTCATTCTGGGATTGGTAAGACAACCTCATAAGTAACACCTGAGGGAGTGGGGGGTTGTCTTGGGGGCTTATTTGTCTTCTCTTTTCTGTCTCTCAGTTTCTCATTTTGTTTGCTGCTTCTTTGTAATAAACATTGTTTTGTTGAACTTTCAACAGTGTACTGGTTTCAGTTTTGGAAATCTCCCTGCTACACCCCTTGTCCTGTCACTTACAGGCCCTTGTAAATGTCCCTCTCTGATCTTCTTGTAGGGTCTCTTTAGGTACCAGAACACCCCAATTAGGTCACCATGAAGCCTTCTCTTTTCCAGGCTGAACAATCCCAATTCTTTCAACCTTTCCTCGTTGGAGAGGTGCTCTATCCCTCTAATCATCTTCATGGTCCTCCTCTGGACTTGTTCCTACAAGTTGATGTCCTTCCTACACTGAGGACCTTAGAGTTGGATGCAGTACTCCAGGTGGGGTCTCACCAGAGCAGAGTAGAGGGGCAAGAATCCCCTCCCTAGACCTGCTGGCCTGTAGGGATAAAATACACTTTCTGGAAGATTTCACTACGAGGAGATAAGAGTTTTTCTTTTAAAAAAATTTTCTTGCCTAGAAGAAACATCTTTCCCAAAGACAGATGTTTTCTCCTCCTGCATTCCAGAGATGCTCTCTGTCATATGAGGAAAGAGATAAGCACTCACAGACATGTTAAGGGCATCTATGGCATGGAGGGCCAGGGGACCAGCAATGATAAAAGTCCTGAGAAGAAAAGAGGGCATGTCTTTCTCAGGTCCAGTGTTTAAAGCACACTTAGGATAATCTTCTTTAAAGTCTAGTGTTCTTGACTTTGGAAATAAATTTTCTTATAATCCTTCCACTGCCTGGCATTTTGGGGGTACCTGTGTGTTATCTTACTTCACATGGTCATACTGCTTTTGATGCAGCCCAGGACAAGGTTGGCTTTCTGGGCTGCAAGTGTACATTGCCAGCTCATTTTCAGCATCTCATCCACCATCACCCTCAAGTCCTTGGCAGGGTTGCTCTCAATTTGTTCATCTCCCAGACTGGATTGATATCGGGGGTTGCCCAGACCCAGGTGCAGCACCTTGCACTTGGTCTTGTTAAACCACATGAGATTTCATGGGCCCACTCCTCAAGTTTGTCCAGGTCCCTCTGGATGTCATCCTGTCCTTCAGGTGTGTCAACCACACCACTCAGCTTGGTGTTTGAAAGAGTCATGATGGTCTCAGAGGTAACCTTAGAATCTTAAGAATTTTTTAGTTTGCCCTTACTGCTTAAACTTTGTAACTTTGAAACCCTTACCTAAACACTGCTAAAAGATAAAAATTAGGGAGGTCAGAAACCTATGCAGCTGTAGTTTTAATTAGTTTTGGAGACCGTTACACTCTAGAGAGCTAAATCAATAGAAAATTGTTTAGGTAAAAGTAATCCAAGTCTAATCTTTAACCAAAGATGGATGATGAATACTGTAGCAATAAGATATGAAAATATACTCTAGAGAGCTAAATCAATCAAAGATTAGGTAGACGTTTAAGTTATCTTTAACTAAAAATTGATACTGATGTCTTGTAACAATAAAATATAAAACTTTTTCAAAGACTGTTTAAGTAGAAGAAGTCTAGGTTATCTTTAACTAAAGATTAATGTTGATGCCTTGTAACAATAAGATGATTGACTGTCAAGGAGGTTCTTGGGATGTGAAAGTGTATAAAAGCTCACAAAATCCTTGTTTCAGTATAGTGCTTATGGAGGAGCTCTCCCCAACACTACCCTGACATTACAGTAAAGGAATGCTGGCTTAACAGTATCATGCTGTTGAGGTTGATTTCTTTGAATCAGTGTCATCTCCAAACTTGCTGAGCGTGGCACTTGATCCCTTCGTCTACATCATTAGTGAAGATATTAAATAACACTGGTCCCAGTACAGCATCACAGGAAGGACATCAACCTGTTGGAGTGAGTCAGGAGGAGTCCACGAAGTTGATCAGAGGAATAGAGCACCTCTCCTATGAGGAAAGGTTGGGAGAATTGGGATTGTTCAGCCTGGAAAAGAGAAGGCTTCATGGTGATCTAATTGTGGTCTTCCGGTACCTAAGGGACCCTACAAGAAAGATGGAGAGGAACATTTTACAAGGACCTGGATTGACAGGATAAGAGTTTAGATTAGATATTAGGAAGAAATTCTTGACTGTGAGCGTGGTAAGGCACTGGCACAGGTTGCCCAGAGAAGTTGTGGATGTCGCATCCTTGAAAGTGTTCAAGGCCAGGCTGGATGGAGCTCTGAGCAACCTGGTTTAGTGGAAGGTGTCCCTGCCCACAGCAGGGGGGTAGGAACAAGATGATCTTTAAGATCTCTTACAACCCAAACCATTCTATGATTCTATGAAATATATTCTAAATTGCTGGGATGTTTGCTTTTCAAGGGTGTTTGTTTTTTCCAGTTGTCACAACCCATTGGTAGGGGGTGTGATGTTCCTTGTAAATTCTCATCAGGCTGAACAAAGACACCAGTCCATGTGTCAGGGAACTCATGTTTTTATTGTATGGTTGCCTTAACTCCAGAAAACAGCCCACTGCTTAGACTCAGAAGTGGTGGCTTAATTTTGTACAGTGCACTGCAATAAGTTCTCAACTCTCACAGCAAACTTCTTAAAGGTGCTGAGTCACAAGTCACAACACACCACCAAAGGTGCTGGCTAACGAGTCACAATACCACTTCTCAAAGGTGCAGGTTAAGAAGCCACAACACACCACTTTCTCATAGATGCTGGCTCACAAGCCACAACACACTTCCACAAGCTCCTCACTCCCACAACAAACTTCACTATGGGGTAGAATATGATAGATGTGCTTTGCCCAGACAAAGCAATGGAGGAGGAAAATAAAGGTGGAAAGAGAGAGAGAACAAAGAATATCACCAGTCCTTAGATCCCACATTGGTCCTGCTATGTGGATGGTCCAGAGCTGGAGTTGACAAAGGGAGTTTACGAGAAAGTAAAAGGGGGAAAAAAGAGTGAGTGGGACTGATCCACTTCCTTTTATAGTGAACCTAGTGCACACCTGTTATGTAAACTAGATTTTTTCTGTCACTTCCTTCACATTCATGCACAACCAGCCCTTTGAGCCCTCCTCCAGGAAGTGAGTCAGGGCAGAGAGGGTGCTGAACATGAGTCTCAAGGTGGAGCAGAAAGTTGGCTCAGAACAGCACTGCCCTGCCTCCATGGGACACTCTCTTCCAATCACAACTTTCCTGTCACAGCAGTCAGAATGTTTGAGACAAACATGCTTATGTTTAGTCCTCCACATCAGTTGACATATTATCTGTGTTAGCAACAAAGCAATAAGAAAGATGGTGAAAATTCCTGAACCTGTAGGTGGCAGAGACAAAAGGGGACTGGGACCAAGTTGAGAGCAGGATGGAAGAGCAGAAAGAGCCTGTGTGGTTTCATCACTGAAATCTTTCAGAGTTCTTATCCTACAGAGTGGAAAGGGATCCTATAAACTTCTGTATACTTTGCATAAGACATGAATTTAAAGAGTATTCAAAGCATCTTTCATGCTAATTAAACCAGACAGTTCCAAGTATGCTTAACATAGACATCTAAAAGACTAATACAACTGTTTCTGGGAACAGATATAGCTGTCCCGCAGTGACCTTCACTGAGGTGGTGGTTTCTGTTTTCATTTAAAGTGTAAATATAGGCAGGTTTACCTTTTCCCAGAGAAGATAGGAATAATTAAAATAAAGTGTATTCTCGCACAGTACACTTATCAATGAAGGGCAAAATTGAAGTAAAATAAGTCAGGCTATCATCAGAGAATATAGTAGGGACAACAATAACTTTCAGCAATTTCTAAAAGCATAATACCAAAAACAACCAAGCATACTGCTTCACTTCAGGGTTACAGTTTACTCATTGGCTAATGAAACAGAAAACAATTGCTGAACAGATAATGGGACATGATCCAGGTTACTTTTATCACTATTTTAGCAAGCCATACTTTCAGAATCACATTTTAAAATGGTTTCTGGAGGATGGTTTGACAAAAAAAGAGCCAATAGTTAAATAAAGTAACATAATTCTCATTTCCTATGAGGAGATTTATGTCGTTTACTCAGTAAAACGATTGGTCATTTTTGTAAGTTATCTTGAACCTTTGATCTACCTTCAAAAATTTATTTACCTTGTGATGTAGCCTTCACGAGTTTAAAATAGCAACCTTAGAACCTTATAGATATGTCTGGTAATCCTGCTCTGCTATTGACTCAATAAAGAGATTAATTTCTGATAGATATTGAAATTCACCTGACTCTTTTTTCATGAGCCTTCAGTCCATTAGAAACCAAAGATCCCATATAAACTGTTTTGCCATTTTCATGGTAATGGAAGATGTACAGACAAGAGAGAGACAGAGCTCTGAACAACAAAAGCCAAACAAGAAGGAATAAAAATATCTCATCTGATTATTTCTAGTATTAGTTCAACTGAGGCAATTAACAAGTTTTCACCATCAGTTGCCATGGTGTATTGTGCTTTACATTACCAAACCCAGCTTAAGGGATTTTCTGGCAAGCATATTAAAATTTGGGATCGCTTTTCCCTTTTGTTGCACTTTCCTCTTTGGTCTCATTGACCAAACTATTAACAGAGTAGCAAGATTACAGCACAGAGAGACTTCGAGGTCATCAGTCCTGTTCCCCAGACACATGTGGTAGATTCAAGTTGTTAAGTCCCAGAAGATGAAGGCTACTGGTACAATGGGATAGCATTAAGAATTTGGGGTTGTCTTTACTATTCTGCTGGGGAAAAAACTCTGCCCTCTCCTGGAAGCTGTGAAACATGAACCTTCACTACAATTTTCCCTGCGCTGTTAGGTTTGACACCCTGACACACTAGAGAAGGTTCTGCTGTGTTTGCAGGTCACTAAGATTGCAGACAGCCCTTCAGGAAACCCCTCTTTGGGCAGGGGTCATTATGGTTCCCTATTCCTGCCAACATCATTAACCATGCCTGTATTTCACCTATGCACAACTTCTGCAACAATGTCCAGTGCACTTGGTAATATTAGTTTGCCTAACCTGAAATTTGCTCTTTTCCTGCTGTCAAGCTTATTAAATCCCTTTCCTCAGTAACTTTCTATTTCAGTTAGAAGAAATACAGAGTTTGTATCTATTGCAATGTATCCCTTAGAAAACCAGAATCATTAAACTTCCATTTAAATCAAAGAATCTTTCTCATTATTTGTCTGCTCATTATTCATAACAGCAACACAATATTGCAATAATTGGAGCTACATTAAGTTTTGCTTTTACTGTCTATACATAAAAGTTCTACATATGGAAACTGTGGAAGCCACTCAAGACCCCAGCACTATAAATAGTGCTCTATTTGTAGTGAATAAAAATTGAAACAAATCTCCCAGCACTGGAACACAGCACATCCTATTAGATGTTAAGCTCTGCCTGTGCTAAAAGTGAGAGGCTCTAAATGATAAATGCCAGCAGTGGTAGAAGCTAAGATACTGGGTGGAAACTCCAGTATGCTGTCAGGAGCAGTTTGCTGCCCAAGAGCTGGAAGCACACAAATTGGATCACTCTTTATATGCTTTGCCAAACCGTCCAGGTTTAAATGAGACACGGGTCTTTTGCTGAGGATGAGTTATGAGAAAAGACCCAAACTGCTCCCTCTAAGCAATTATAAATTCGAAATTAAGAGGCTCCGATTGAAGGAGAACAAATTATGGAAAAGGGAAAATAAAAGCCCTTTATTAAAAGGTATGTGTGTATTAACAGAAACAACGAAAAGAAACAAGTAAAACAACCAAACAATACTCCTATACCCACAAATAATCCCCTTCAAAAAACAAACCGATAAACAGGCAAAGGGAAAAGTAAATAATTCAATTTGCGCCCTTTGGTGCAATTCCAACCACAGTTAAAAGGGGACGCCGTTGGGTCACTGGAGATGCAGAGGTTGTAATTTCCTGTGCCAGGCACCAGGTGGCACTGTTGGATCACTGGAGATGCAAAGCCTGTAATGTCCTGTGCCAGTCACCAGGTGGCACTGTGGGATCCCTGGTCGCTGCCACGTGGAGGGGATGGGGGGGGAAAAGAACACCCTCCGGGATGTGTCAGAGAAAACCAAACTGGTCCTCCCTTCCCTTCCCACACACCTGGAAATGGGAGAGGGAGAGGGGGAAAGGGACCAGACAACTCTCACTTACTCTGACTGGTCAGTCTCCTCTGCACAGTCCTCTCTCTCCCCCTGATGTGCACAAGGACCATCACCAGGGAAAAAGAAAAAAGAAAAAAACCCCAGAAAAAAAGCTCCTCTCCGACAAGAAAAAAACAAACAACAGGCAGCGTCCGCAACTGGCAAGAAGGTCCCGAGCCACAGGAATCACCAACCTCCACTCCCGACCTGTGTTCCAGAAACCCTCAGCACACCAACTCCTCCCCCCATTGCCAAGGAAACGAGAGAAAAAAGTAAACGATAGCCCTTCATCTGCCCCATTTCCTAGGAGACTAATTTTTCAGTCATTAGCCATCCCGGCTAGTTCTTTGTATCTCTCAAGTACTCACTTGATAGCTACTTGATAGCTCTGCACACAGGGGCAGGGGGAAGGGAAAAAATTCCTGACTAGTTTCCAAGAACTATATCCATGACAATATCCATCCCTAATTTTTTTCCTTTCCCATACTCTATCAAATTAAACTTTTTGAACTCCATACATTCATGCATTATTCTAAACTATGTGCACTTTCACAAATATATAGGTACAAATATGGATACAGAGTTATGGTCTGTTCACCCTAAGATAATATCTCCTTGAGGTATGCACCTGGTTTCTCCATCTTCTTGCATCACCCACCATGTGCAACCAGGTCCTTGGGCAAAAACAATTCCATGAATGGATTTGCCTTTGCTCGAGGCGAGGTTAACCCAAACTGTTTTACCTAACATACCTCTCATGTGAATCACTGGGACCTTGTCCCTGTCTACAGTGTGAAGGGACTCTGATCAGGCAGGGCCGGTTCAATTGACAGAGCCTCTAGTGTTGACTCACCATGTAGCCTTTGCTAGGTGTTGATCCCAAGGTTTGAAAGTCCCTCCACCTAATGCTTTCAGGGTAGTCTTCAACAGTCCATTACACACTTCAACCTTCCCGGCAGCTGCTGCATGGTATGGTATGTGATAGACCCACTCAATGCCATGCTCTTTCGCCCAGGTGGTAACTAAACTATTCTTGAAGTGTGTCCCATTATCTGACTCAATTCGCTCTGGGGTGCCGTGTCGCCACAGGACCTGTTTTTCGAGGCCCAGGATGATATTTTTGGCAGTGGAGTGGGGCACTGGATGCGTCTCCAACCATCCAGTGGTGGCTTCCACCATGGTGAGCACATAGGGCTTTCCTTGACGGGTCTGTGACAGTGTGATATAATCAACCTGTCAAGCCTCCCCATATCTGTATTTACTCCAACGTCCACCATACCACAGGGGCTTCAGTCTCTTAGCCTGTTTAACGGCAGCGCATGTCTCACAGTCATGGATAACCTGAGAGATAGCATCCATCATTAGATCCACCCCTCGGTCTCGTGCCCATCTGTAGGTGGCATCTCTGCTCTGATGGTCGACGGCATCATGGGTCCATCGTGCTAAGAACAATTCCCCTTTGTACTGCCAGTCTATATCCACCTGTTACACCTCAATTTGTGCAGCTCGGTCTGCCTGTTCATTGTTGTGATGCTCTTCATTGGTTAGATTTTTGGGCACATGGGCATCTACGTGACAGACTCTCACAATCAGCTTGTCTACCCGGGTAGCAATGTCTTGCCATATATCAGCAGCCCAGATGGGTTTTCCCCTACGTTTCCAATTGGCCTTCTTCCATCTGTCCAACCACCCCCACAGGGCATTGGCCACCATCCATGAGGTAAAGTTTTGGCCACTTCTCTCATTCAGCAATGTCCAAGGTCAACTGGACAGCTTTGAGCTCTGCGAATTGGCTTGATTAACCCTCTCCTTCCATAGCTTCTGCAACTCCATACAGCTGCTTTCCATTTACGTTTCATCCCTACAATACTGCAGGAACCATCAGTAAAGAGTGCGTGGCGTATGTCTTCTTCTGGTAGTTGGTTGTATGCTGGGGATTCCTCCGCCCGTACCACCTGCTCCCCTTCTTCTTCTGCTAGACTAAAATTCTCACCTTCCGGCCAGTTCGTGATGATTTCTAGGATCCCAGGGCGATTTGGGTTTCCACTCTGGGTGTGCTGTGTGATCAGGGCGATCCATTTGCTCCATGTAGCATCAGTGGCATGATGCGTAGAGGACGTCTTCCCTTTGAACATCCAACTCTATACCGGTAGCCGAGGTGCCAGGAGGAGCTGTTTTTCTGTGTCAATCACCTCTGAGGCAGCTTGTACTCCCTCATAAGCTACTAGGATCTCCTTTCTTGTTGGAGTGTAACTGGTTTCCGATCCTCTGTAGCTTCGGCTCCAGAATCCAAGTGAGAGGTCTCGGGTCTTGCCAGGCACCTTCTGCCAGAGGCTCCAGGAGAGACCCTTATCCCCAGGTGCAGAGTAGGGCACATTCTTCACATCTGGTCCTGCCCTGCTGGTCCAAGGGCTACAGCATGGGTAATCTCCTGTTTAATCTGTTCAAATGCTTGCTGTTGTTCAGGACCCCACTGGAAATCATTCTTCTTGCAGGTTACCAGATAGAGAGGGCTTACGATATGACTGTACTCAGGGATGTGAACTCTCAAAAAACCTATGGCACCCAGGAAAGCTTGGGTTTCCTTCTTGTTAGTTGGTGGGGTCATTGCTGTGATTTTATCGATGACTTCAGTCAGGATCTGACGACGTCCATCTTGCGACTTTACTCCCAGGAACTGGATCTCCCGGGCAGGTCCCTTGACCTTACTCTTTTTGATGGCAAACCCAGCTCCCAGGAGAATCTGTATGATCTTCTTTCCTTTCTCAGAGACCTCTTCTGCTGTGTCCCCCCCATACAATGATGTCATCAATGTGCTGCAGGTGTTCTGGGGCTTCCCCTTTCTCTAGCGTAGCCTGGATCAATCCGTGGCAGATGGTGGGACTGTGTTTCCACCCCTGGGACAGTCAGTTCCAAGTGTACTACACGCCTCTCCACGTGAAAGCAAACTGCGGCCTGCACTCTGCTGCCAAGGGAATGGAGAAGAATGCATTCACAATGTCAATAGTGGCGTATCACCTCGCTGCCTTAGACTCCAGCTTGTACTGGAGCTCAAACATGTCTGGAACAGCGGCACTCAGCGGCAGGGTGGCCTCATTCAGGCCACAATAGTGCACAATCTCCATTCTCCATCAGACTTACGCACATGCCAAATGGGGCTGTTGAAGGGGGAGTGGATCCTGCTGATCACTCCTTGGCTCTCCAGCTCACGGATCGTCTTATGGATGGGGATCACAGAGTCTCGGTTCGTTCGGTACTGCCGATGATGCACTATTGTGGTGGCAATTGGCACTCACTGTTCCTCAACCTTCAACAGTCCCACAGCAGAAGAGTTCTACGAGAGTCCAGGTAATGAATTCAACTGCTTAGCTACCTCTGTCTCCACAGCAGCTATATCGAAAACCCATCTATGTCCCTTGGGGTCTTTGAAATACCCATTCCTAAGGGAGTCAATGCCCAGGATACATGGGGCATCTGGACCAGTCACAATGGGGTGTTTCTGCCACTCCTTCCCGGTCAAGTTCACTTCAGCTTCCAACACAGTCAACTACTGCGACCCTCCTGTCACCCCAGAAATGGAAATAGTCTCTGGTTGCACATGTCCTGAGGGCATTAACGTGCATTGAGCGCCAGTGTCAACCAAAGCCTTGTATTCTTGTGGGTCAAGGCCACCGGATCCACACCGTCCAATAGACAAGGTTGCCCTGTACCTCTACCTGGCTAGAGGCAGGGCCCCTCTAATACTGGTCTCCGTCCTGCTCATCACAGTTTTCCATCTGCAAATACCGGTTGGAGGTACCTTCTAGCGGGTCAGATCCCTGCCCATGGGATACCAACACTGCACTCACTTTCATGGACTTTGCTTTTTTCCTGTCCTTCAACTCTTGTACTCGGGCTGCCAAGACATGGGTAGGTTTCCTGTCCCTCTGTCTCATGTCTTCTCCGTGATCAGATAGGAAATACCACAGCTCTGGTCATGAGGTCTGTCTACCCTCTCTAGCTGTGGGGTGCCTGTTTCTCACTGGTGCCACCTGGGAACTGTTTCTCTCAATCTTTTCAAGGATTTTTTACTGTTGATCTTGTATTTTTGTAGTTAGGGTAGTGAGGTTATTGATCAATGTCTCTACAGAGGAAACGTGGGCTTGTAATGGTCCTTGGACCATACTGTCGTACACCCGAAGTCTATTTGCTATAGACATCACTGGCTCTCTCTTTTCCCCAGCCTCCAATGATGTCAGGTGTGCAGATGACGTGTGCAGATGGCCCCATACATATGAAGACCCACCACATTAGTGGGGTGCATTTAACCTTGTCAGGATTGTCAGTGGCTTGTATATCCCTTCCAAACAGTACCTCCAACAGTGCCATTTCCCTCAGGCGTTGGATCCCCTCCTCCATGGTATTCCAGCTCTTCCCACAATTGTCTGTCTGCAAGGCCTCTCTGTAAAAGAACCTCATACCATCCAACATCCATGCCCAGAGAGACAGGGACTTTGATTCTCTCACAAACGCCTCCTCAGTGCCCACATCCTGGGCAATAGACCTCAAGAACCTTGCTTTACTGCCATCAAGGTTTATGGCATCACCCGTGGAGTCCCAAACTCTGATCATCCAGGTTAGTATGGGCTCATTCGGCTGACGAATGACGTCTGCCCGTAAGTTCCGGAGGTTGTCATACGATAAGGACTCAGGGATGATTTCTGGTTCCAGGTTAACTGCCTGTGAGGGTCCTGCCTCTCCATCATCATCAACTGGGTGGGTTGATTTGGTCTTATATTTCCTCTTTTGGATAGGGGCAACCTCCATTGACTTCTTTGGTCCCTTGGAATTGGCCTTATCTGGAGTCACCCTTGTATCAGGCATCTCGTTTTCATCTTTTCCTTTTCCCTGTGAGGGCTGCACCATACTGAGCAGCTTTCTGTAGGCAATGGCCAAAAGTCCACATGCAGCTGCCAGCTGCCTCTCTATGGGTCTACCACGACCTATCTCCCTCACAACTGTCATTATCTTTGTAGGGTTTAGGAGTTGTTCAAGAGTGAGTTTCCTTGTTGTAGGAACTGAACAACTTTCTAGAAATTTACCCATGACCTATGCCATTCGAGGTTTTCCACCACTGGGGCCGGCTTCTGTGCCCGTTCTTGATAATTCCTGGCCCTAGCTACAAATATTAGATATGACACCAGTTAGTTCTTTGTATCTCTCAAGTGCTCAGTTTATAGCTACTTGATAGCTCTGCACACAGGGGCAAGGGGAAGGGAAAAAATTCCTGACTGGTTTTGAAGAACTAGCTAAACCATGACACAGATCCTTCAGTTGCACTGAGCAACAGAAGATGTATCACAGAAAGTACAGTTGGGGACAGGAAGAAAGGTCAGGAGGAGGAAAACACATGCTTTCAGGTCTTGCTGGATGTTGTGCAGTTCCATCCTGAAGATATTATTCAGACTTTCCGAGGCTGGCTCCTGATTAAAGCTCAGCATGGACCTAGGATGGAGAAATATTGTTTCATATCCAGAAACTTTACCAGGCAATACAAATTACCTAATGGAGTGGAGAACAAAAATTTGTCTGTACTTTTGTGCCTTGATGGCATTTTGGTTGTTGAAATTAAGAACTCAGTGGGAAAGAATTAGTCTTGTCCATAGTTTGTTGCTAATTGTTTTCTTAACAAAAAGCAGCATCAGAAACAACCTGTGATTAGCTGACCATAACCCCCATTTCCCCATCCCCCTGCACTACTGCGCGGGAGGAGGTAGAGCCCATGAAGAAGGAAGGGGTAGGAGGAAGGTATATTTTAAGATTTGTTTTACTTCTCATTATTCTGCTCTGATTTTGATTAGTACTAAATTTGATTAATTTGCCCAAGTCAAGTCTGGTTTGCCTGTGATGGCAATCGGTGAGTGACCTCTCCCTGCCCTTATGTCAACTTATGAGCCTTTTGTTATATTTTCTCTCCCCTGTCCACTTGTGGAGGGGAGTGATAGTGTCTTTGGTGGGCACCTGGCCTCCAACCAGGGTCAACCCACCACAGTTTGTAAATACTCTGCACTGGTTCAGCCCCACCTCGAGTACTGTGTGCAGTTCTGGCCATCACAATATAAAAAAGGTATTAAGCTAAGAAGTACCACGAGGATGGTGGAGGGACTGGAGGGGAAGTCTTATGAGGAGTGGTTGAGGTCACTTGGTTTCTTCAGCCTGGAGGAGACTGAGGGGAGACCTCATTGCTGTCTTCAACATCCTCACAAGGGGAAGCAGATGGGCAGGTACCGATCTCTTCACTCTTGCGACCAGTGACAGGACTCAAGGAAATGGCATGAAGTTGAGTCGGGAGGTTTAGGTTGGATATCAGGAAAAGGTTTTTCACCCAGAGGGTGGCTGAGCACTGGAGCAGGCTCCCCAGGGAAGTGGTCACAGCACCAAGCCTGTCTGAGTTCAAGAATTGTTTGGACAAAGCTCTCAGGCACATGGCTTGATTCTTGGGGTGTCCTGCACAGGACCAGGAGTTAGACTCAATGATCCTGATGGGTCCCTTCCAACTCAGCATATTCTATGATTCATTGATTCTATGAAACATTTGAGGAGATCTGCAGCTGCAAGTCAAACTGCCTCATTTTATATGTACTGGAGATGAGTATGACTGCTGTGCTATGAATAGTAAAGGAATGTGGAATGGAAAGTACCAAGTTAAATACAGACTTTTTATGATAGACATCTGTTGTTTGGACAAATCAAAAACATATTAAAATGAAACTGAATACAAATACAATTTTAAGAATATGAAAAAATCTGAGAGACAAAACTCAGGCACTTACTAGCTGAAGTTAGTTCAAAATGAAAGCCCTAAGCTTGTACTTCTGCACGTCCATTCATTAGAAAGATTTATGTCATGATTATTTAGACTTGAAGATATTTGACACAATTGACTTTAGAAAAGTGGTTAGACTAAGTCTTACTTTTTTATTATTATTATTTGCACTAAAACTCACGAGAAATTTGTGCAAGAAATACAGAATAAGGTCTGGATTGTACATTTCCATCATATGCAATTATTTTGTTTGTTGAATAGAGCAGAAGTCAAGAACCTAATGTTTTCTAACAAACCAACCCAAATATAAAACATATGTCCCTCCATTTCCACTCAATCCACACTTTTCCCTCATATTGCCTGTGTTCAGTTGTGTATGGGTTTAAGATAAAAGAGGATGATCATGCTAGAAAATCAGATTTATATTCTAAATACTTTTAGGTCAAGAAGCTTCCTCAGCCAAGAATATGATGAAACATATACCATGGATTAAAAAATATGAATTCTAGATACAGGTCTGAATTTAAACTTTATATGACAAGTTTATAAAAGCTCACCCATGGTTTCCATATCACCTTATAGCACAAATGTTGGGATATAATTCAGAATCACCACTGATTAACCTGCTTTGGTAATTTTTTGTTTACAGAGAATTTTGTAAATTGGGTCACTTAAAATTATAGATTTTTATAAAAATGGTTTTACCTATGATTGCAGAGTGGTATTCATAGCCCTAGAGATGAAAAAGTAGCTTTTAAAAAAGCATAAATTAATTAATTACTTCAAATTTGATAATGAATAAACTACTGGAAACTTGATAAGAAATTAGACCAGACAGTCAAAATCACATCAACTGTTCTATGTATGTTAGAACCATGGTTAAAATCAGAACTGACTGACAAAGGTGGATGAAGAATTTGACATTTGGCTATTTTATATTGTACGTCTCTTCACTTTCCTCTGTGCCCAGTTCTGTACTTATTAACAACATCATCAGTCAGAAACCAGTCATCCTGACTAAAACATGGCAAAGATGTACCCAGGCAGAGTTTATCTTCTCTAGTACCCTAAGTATGTGCTCCTTCACAAATGTGAAGTTGCCCTGACCCAGCACCAGTGGCTTGTGTAACAGGGACCATGCTGAAATATAGCCCTGCTGCTGTCTTCCTGCATTTTAGCACCAAGTACAACGCAGCAGAAAGTTCTTATATCCTATTTTTAGTGGTAATTTACTGAAAGTTCTTGAATGAATGATTTTTATATTTTTACCAAAACAGCATCAAAGTACTTGGCAGGGCATTTGTCTGCAATTTTCTGTAAATAACTGTTCTCACATATTGTATTTGATGTTTTACTTATATAATCTGATTAGAACTGTGCAATGGGTTTGCATGGCAAGGTTTGGGGGAGGAGGTGGCTATAGGGGTAGCTTCTGTGAGAAGCTGATAGCAGCTTCTCCCGTCTGGCAGAGCCAATGCCTGCTGGCTCCAAGATGGACCCACTGCTGGCCAAGACCAAGCCCATCAGCAATGGTAGTAATGCCTTTGTGATAACATATTTAAGAAGGAGAAAAGTTATTGTGCAGAAATACTTGCAGACAGAGAAGAACAGAGTGAGAATATGTGAGAGGAACAACTCTGCAGACACCAAGGTCAGTGGAGAAGGAGTGGGAGGAAGTCATTCATGGGATGGAGCTGAGATTCCCCTGAAGCCTGTGGTGCAGACCATGGGGAAGCAGGCTGTCCCCCTGAAGTCCATGGAGGTCAGCAGTGGAGCACAGATATACTTATATATGTTCCTGGTTCTTGATTACCTGAAGCTGTGTCATGTTCCACCCCAACTGCGACACTTACAACCTGTGGAGGACCCTATGCTGGAGCAGGTGGATACCCAAAAGAAGGCTGTGACCCCATGGGAAACGTGCTGGAGCAGACTCCTTTCAGGAGTTGTGGCTCTGTGGAGAGAGGAGCCTATGTTGGAGCATGTTTGATGCTAGGACTTTTGACCCTATGGTCACAAGTTTGGAGTAGCCTGTTCCTGAAGGACTGCACCCTGTGGAAAGGGACCCGTGCTGGAGCAGTTTGTGAAGAACTGCAGCCTGTAGCAAGGACTCACATTGAATAAGTTCATTGAGGACTGTCTCCTGTGGGAGGGACCCGATGCTGGAGCAGGGTAAGGACTCATCTCCCTGAGGAGGAAGCAGTGGCAGAAATGTGATTAACTGACCATAACCCCCATTCCCCATCTTCCTGCGCCACTTGGGAGGAATAAAGTTAAGCTTAGGAAGAAGGGAGGGGTGTGGGGGAAGGTGTTTTTAAGTTTTGTTTTACTTCTCATTATCCTGCTCTGATTTTGATTGCTAATAAATTGAACAAATTTCCTCAAGTCAAGTCTGTTTTGCCTATGACGGTAATCAGTGAGTGATTGCAGCGGCCAAAAAGACACACACTCAGACTGTTGACAGGCAACAATGACTTTACAACAGGTTTAGTTTTAAAGTCTTCCTCTGTCCACACGTACATATGTTATCCTTCATTGGTTGTATGCCTCAGTTCATGTTCCAACTCATTTTCTCATAGGTGGTCATCACCGGTCCATGTGCTTAGCACATCTCAAAACAACACCTGGTATTTACTGCAATTTTACTCCTTTTTTGCTTAGTCACTCTGGTAGTTTACATAGTTTTACAGCTTCACAACTCAATGCCCCAGCCCAAGCTGCTCGCAGTTATGTTGTTTCCCGCAAGTGATCTCTCCCAGTCCTTAACTCATGAGCTTTTTGTTATATATTCTCTCCCTTGTCCAGTTGAGGAGGAGAGTGATAGAGTGGCTTTAGTGAGTACCTGGTCTCCAGTCAGGGTCAAAACACTACAAACTGAATGTGAATGTCATAGAGAAAACTGCTAATACTGCTCATGGACAGCAGAATAAGAAATTTACAAACAACAAAGGATTTCAGAACAACTACAGCTTAAGAAAGGTTTAATACTATATTGAGTCTGTCTGAGCTGGAGTTCATTTCCCCATAGCAGCTCTCACAGCGCTGGGCTTTGAAGGGGCGGATAGAAAGGTGTTGATAACACACTAGTTAACTAAGTGTTTGGTTGCTTCTGAGCATTGCGGGTTTTGTCATAATTATCCAAGTCCTGGCATCATCAGTATGCATTATACAAGAAGCACCATAAAAACAATCTCTGTCTTAATGTATATATGAAGCCTGAGGGCTTGATCCCAGAATGATCAATGCAGATTAGGAGACTCCAAGGCAAACATATGCAGATATAGGAATTCTGAGACTCATTCTATTGTACTACCCATAGCAATATTTACCTGAGACTTTCTAGAAACTTCATCCTGAGATGGGTACAGCGTAAGGTTTCCAGATTTATAGGTTTAAAGGTCAGAAGCATCAATGATTGTCCCCCAGTGTGATTCCCTGAAGAGAATCCACACTTGATAATTTCTTCATGAAGCCCATAATATGTTTAATCAATAGCATATATTTAAGCAAGACATCAAACCTTAATTCAAAGATGTAATTTGATAGAAAACCCATCACAGCCTTCCACAATTGTTTAAATGTGTTAATAATCACCATGGCAAAAAAAAAAAAAGCAGGTTTTCCATAGCCCTCTGAGATTTGTTCAGTGATATAAATTTTACCCTTAGACTAAAAGTAATACTCTGGACAGCTCTTGGGACAGTCTTTTTACTATCCTGATGTTGTGAGATAGCTTGTGTTACAAAGTGTCATGGTTTTGTTTGTTCTGGGAAACTAAGCAGGAATTTTCCCTTCCCCCTGCCCACAGTGTGAAAGGGATTTTGAATA